TGGAGGCTTAAGCACGCTCCCAATAGCCCAGAAAATACAATATTTTGTCGTGTAGTTTGCACTGAAATGGAAGGATCATGTTCTATGTAGTTCCCTCCGTTTTACTATATTGTACTGTATATTACTGTAGTACATTTGAGGATACTACAGCACAGTACTTCAGTTCCATCCAAAGTAACAAACAGAAGTGTAGGGACATGTTCCAGTTTGTTCCTGTAAATTCAGCACCGTATGCATCAAGTGTAAAGAGAAAAAAGTGAAGTATTTTCTAAAAACATATATATTTTTAGGAGAAGCATCAAGTCTTGTGAAGTCACAGGGTTCAAGTCCAAGTCAAGTCCCACATCATTGAGCTTAAAGTCCAAGTCGAGTTTCAAGTCTTTTTTATCGTCTATTTTATCAATTCAAGTCTTGAGTCCTAAAAATAGTGACTCAAATCTGACTCGAGTCCAAGTCACGACTTGCAAGTCCCACCTCTGGTAACCAACATCTAAATACACGTGCAAGTGTAATAAAGCAGCACCAGAGTTTCAGCATGTCATATCTTTGCAACAATATATCAGGCTTCAAAATGTGTTATGGTGACAGAAGAAAAAAGAGGAGAGAAGAGGGAGACATGAGAGCAGCAGGAGAGAGGAGGAGCGACTGGGGAGGGCGATCTCTGCTACGCAACAACCATTTCACCATCTGTCAAGGTGCACTCCACTTCCTATTTTCACAGCAGCAGCGGCGGCGGCGGACAGGTAGTGCCCGGTGCTGCTGCTGAGGCGGGGAAGGAAGGGGGGGAGTGGGGGTTTGACATTTCAGACAAAAGACTTCTCAGGTCAAAGGTGAGGGGCTTACAGGACGTCCAGCGGAGACAGCTCCCCGATAAGAGGCAGGCGCGGGGACGGACGAGGAGCGACGGGCCGACTCTTATCACCAAATGCTCAGTCAGGATTTGAACCCAAACCCAGATTAAACCGGGATGATTGCGTTTCCTGTCATCTGTCGCAGTCAGCCAATCACAGCCTCACAGCCAACCAATCAGCTCTCACATCTGCCTCCTCTGGAAAATGACGTGTATGTCGTAACACTAACACGACGCACAGTAAAAGTGTTAAGATTTGAAATGTGAGTGTGATTTGAGATGACATTTTAAGATTGGAACCACTGTGGACACTGCACACAAAACAAAAACGAGTTCAGTTCTTAATTCACTTCATTCTTATTATTTAAATAATGCACATGAGTCCACTGCAAAAATATCTTGGCCAAAATTTAAGATAGAAACACTTAAATCTCTCTGAAAATGACTTAAAGGGACAGTTCAGAATTTTGGACATAGATCCTCATTTCCTTGCGAGCCAGAGTGTTGGAGATGTGTGGAGACACTTTCTGAAATATTCCAACCAGTCCTTGTATTTGCAGAGGTCACTGGTGTTAGACTAGTGCATGTCAATGGTCATAGTTCTCCTGCCACTAAAAACAGTCTTACCCACTCCACAAAACACCCCAAACTAATCTATTATTACACCAGACTGTCCATGTGAATGTCTGTATTGATAGAATAAGTTTACAAGTAAAACCAACCTTACATTTGAAGGATTTCTGGGTGAGCAGCAGCAGTGAGTTGTACTTCCTGATAGAAAGTTTGGCAGCGGTGGACTGATATATGAAAAAATAGTCCCTCAACACGCGACGATTCATGCAATGCCAGAAATTAGCAGTACACCCATAGAGCACTACTCTGCAAATTTCTCTGATCTGACCAAGATTTTCAAACTTATATCAGGTTATTCATCTTGTTTTCAGATTTATTATCTACTTATTAGTTTTGATTTTGGTTGTATAATCTTAAAATTGCCATATATTTCTTCTATGACTCAACGAATCAGAAAATCAAATTTATGATTAGTATAAATGGACTAACTACTGTCATGTAAGACTGATTTCAAGTACATACATAGTATCTACAATTGTGCATCTTTGAATTTATTATCAGGCCATTCATACTAATTATAAACTTGTTTTAAGTGTGTAGACTTTAGCAGAATTTAAAGCATTTTATCTAGAATTTAACATCTGGAAGGCCATGAACACTCAGGCCATGAACACTCATCATAAACTGGTTTTAAGTCTGTTTATCTCAAACTGAGCCTCCATAAACTTATTTCCAGCCCATGAACACTGACCACAGACGCTTCATTCTAGTCCAGAGGTCGTTTTAAGACATCTCATCAAGTAAAATGATTTTTGCTGCATGGACAGATCATTTCACAAATTTTAAGTCATTTTCGGATAGATTTAAGTGTTTACATCTTACATTTTGACCAAGCTTTTTGCAGTGAATGGAACCTGGACCACTGAGGGATCACACACATACAAGACCACAGGGGAACAGAAAAGAAAGTTCTACCATTTAATGCTGAAAATCACATTCTCTTGTTTAAAGATAAGAGGTTTTTGTTTTTTTGTTGCGGTTTTTATCATTGTGGTATTAGAATGGATTTTGACTGTTGAGTCTTCTCCTTCTCCTACTGAAAGTTTGAAATGTCTGTAATGTGACAACACTACACTGAATACTGTATGTGTTTGTTTGGTCCTGTTTGAGCCCAGTTCTATTCTAGTACTGGTTTAATGTGGTGATTTTGCAAGTGTGATAGGTAGAGTTGTAGTCAAGACCGAATTAATCAAGACCAAGACCTGTCCAAGACCACAGGGTCCCGAGACCAGGACAAGACCAAAACTTTTAAAGGGCGAGACCAAGACAAGATCAAGACCACGGCCCATCGAGACCAAATCGAGACCATCTTTGTCATTTTCGACATTTATTTGTATTTCACAGTTATTTTAGCACATTTATATCAATGTTTTAATAAATCTATCTTCATTTGATCAGCCCAGTTCTATTCTAGTACTGGTTTAGTCAAGGTTTAGTCCTAGTTTAGTCTGTAGTTTAGACCTGTCGGAGATCACAGGGTCCCGAGACCAAGACAAGACCAAGATCTTTGAGAGTCGAGATCGAGACAAAGCCAAGACTTTTAAAGGCCGAGACTGAGACAGCATTAAGACTTTTAAAGGATGAGACCAAGACAAGACGGAGACAACGGCCCATCGAGACCAAATCAAGACCATCTTTGTCATTTTCTACATTTATTTGTATTTCACAGTTATTTTAGCACATTTATATCAATGTTTATATAAATCTATCTCCATTCTATCTGATTAATGTTCATTTAAGCACATTTCCTATTCTAGTACTGGTTTAGTCAAGGTTTAGTCCTAGTTTAGTTCCAGTTTAATGTGGTGATTTGGCAAGTGTGATAGCTAGAGCTGTAGTCAAGCCCGAACTAACCGACACCAAGACCAGTCCAAGACCACAGGGTCCCGAGACCAAGGGAAGACCAAGACCTCTGAGGGTCGAGACCGAGACAAGACTGAGACTTTTAAAGGTTGAGACCGAGACAAGACCGAGACCACAGCCCAGCAAAACCAAATCAAGACCATCTTCCCTCATTTTTCCACCTTTATTTGTATTTTACATTTATTTTAGCACATTTATATCAATGTTTTTATAAATCTATCTTCATTTGATCTGATTAACATTAATTTAAGCCCAGTTTCTATTCTAGTACTGGTTTAGTCAAGGTTTAGTCTGTAGTTTAGACCTGTCTGAGACCACAGGGTCCGGAGACCAAGACAAGACCAAGACCTTTGAGACTCGAGATGAGACAAGACGAAGACTTTTAAAGGTCAAGACTAAGACAAGACCGAGACCACAGCCCAGCAAAACCAAATCAAGACCATCTTTGTCATTTTCAACTTTTTTTTTTTACATTTTACAGTTATTTTAGCACATTTATATCAATGTTTTTATAAATCTATCTCCATTCTATCTGATTAATGTTCATTTAAGCCCAGTTCCTATTCTAGTACTGGTTTAGTCAAGGTTTAGTACTACTTTAGTTCCAGTTTAATGTGGTGATTGTGTGATAGGTAGAGTTGTAGAGTCAAAAGCGAAGTAATCAAGACCAAGTCCTGTCCAACCACAAGGTCCCAAGACCAGGACCAAGACCAAGACCTCTGAGAGTCGAAACCGAAACAAGACCGAGGCCACGGCCCATCGAGACCAAATCAAGACCATCTTTGTCATTTTTTTTTTTTTTACATTTTACAGTTATTTTAGCACATTTATATCAATCTTTTTATAAATCTATCTACATTTGATTTGATTAATGTTCATTTAAGTTTAAAATAAGACAAACAAACTGTACTGCACTCAAATCCCTTCTCTGGACCCTCACCCACAGTTTATCAATCCCACTTTCACTGGCACTTTACAGAAAACTACTTAAAAGTGAAACAAGCGGGGAGGATTTTCAAACCTGCTTTCCTAATTCCGAGTCCAGGTCTGAGACAAAACTGACTCCAAGCACCTTCAAGACCAAGACAAAACCGAGTTCAAATGCCCCTGAGTCTGAGACAAGACTAAGACTGCATAAAAACGGTCTCGAGGCCAGTCTCAAGACCAAAACCGGTCTCGAGTACTACAATTTGTAATTTGTATTTCTACCAAGTAAAAGTATTTGTCTGTGTATTCCCTCAGTTGTTCAGGTAGGCTCCATAAACAAAATAACCCTGTTGATAGATGTGAATTTGAACAAACTTTGTGGAGGAAGAAGAAGGGGGAGAGCAGGAGAGATTAGGGGGAGAATCAGAGTGAGAGAAGGAGCGAGAGATGAAGACGAGAGAAGCGAGCGCAGGAGCAGAGAGGGAAGAGAGAGGAGGAAGGAAAGTAGAGAAGATGATAGAGGTGGACAAACAGGAGAGGGGGAGGGAGGAAAGAGAAAGGAAAGAGGAGTAACTGAGAAGGAGAAACTGTGTAATGAGCATCAGGGGCGAACCACTTTCTAGTTTCGCCACATCTGTGAACTCTGTAAGCACCTGCGCGTGAACAGCTCGAAATAAATACGATGCTTGACACTGTTTGGACACTTGTAGCACCTGTGGAAGGATATGGCCACTCGGTGATCCTCTTGGCGTACTTCCTGATGACGTTGTCCTCGCGGAAGATAAACAGCGAGCGGTTGACGGTGAAGCAGTTCTGTTTGACGGGGTTCGGGTTGTAGATGGCCATGGTGCGCGCCCGCTGTGCCATCGACTGCTTGTACATCCTCTGCCCGCCCGCCGCGCCTCCTCCTCGGGCTGCGGCTCCCCCACGGGCCCCCATGCCTCCTCCGCCGCCGACACCACCACCGCCGCCGCCTCCTCCGCCTCCTCCTCCGGGACCCCCTCCGTATCGGCTGGGGAGGTCTTCAGCGAAACGAGCCAT